GATGGGAAGCATAAATTCCTTAAGTGGCTCACTGGAAGTGATGTTGAATAGGGTCACTCTTATTTCTATCTCTGGGCTCCAGAGCCCATGAATTCTACCTACTGGGGATAAATCACTTATTAAAGTCATGGAGATTGATACTGTATCATGAAGGACAGCAGTCCATCCTTGCTGGTATCACAAATGAACTTCAAAAGGCCATCCTACCGCTCTAACAGGTCAGAAGCTTCTGGATGAAAATGTATTTGGTAAGAACAGTGGATCTCACTGTCATGTGCACATTGCTATACCTGCTTTGCCATTAAGTGGGTCCTTTGTTCCAAGGCATTATTGTGTAGGACCCCATGCCAGTAGATCAAATCTCTGAGTCCTTGGATGGTAGTACTGGCTCAGGCACTTTAGACAGGATAGGCCAAGCAAAATATTTATCAGCCCTGATCAGAATAAATTGTTTTCCTTTTCCAGAATGGAAAAGGTTCAATGTAATCAATTTGTAATCAAATGGCTGGCTGTTCTCCTTGAACAATGGTACTGAACTAGGGGATCAGCACTGCTCTTTGATGCTGACAAGATGGACATCGGACATAGCAGTAGCTAGGTCAGCCTTCGGTGAGAGAGGAGTCCATATTAGCAGGCCAATAAAACAGCCTCCATCTCTGCCACCATGGTGAATCTATTTATAAACACACTGTACAAGAACTGGGATAGCTGAGATCGTCCCAACTAAATTATCCTCTCCATGTGGATATTATTTAGCACTCTTCTGGTGAGTGCTTTCAAGTCCCACTCATAGATTCACCCAAAGGCTCTGCACCAGACCTAGTTCCCCCCATTTTCCTACCTTGTTCCTTCTGGGCCCCCAACGACCAGCCACTGACTGTGAGTTCATGTATATCCTTGCTTCAGGCCACTTCTCTCTCCAAAGTGGATGGTCAGGTAAATTGCCTGAAGCCCTGCTCATTGAGAGAATTTCCCTGCGTCACTGTCTTTCAGGACCACTTTGGAAAAGGTTGTTGAGAAGCTGCAGTCCATATTTGGCTTGCCTAACCCATCCACAAACCAGATTTTTTTCCTCCCTCAAATGGTTGCCATGGGTATGAGCTAAGAGAAAAGTATTAGTGCAACAGATGTTGGTAATGTGGAGGTCCAGGGCCCTTTGCTCAATTTTACTTACCTGTGCCCACCAAGTTTATTTGGGCTTCTTCCAAAATGAAGGATTTCCATTGTAATATATATTGCTATTGTATCCATCCAATATTGGGACTTGGCAGGCCTGACAATAACAGGCTGGTTGTATGGGCTACTCAGCAACAGTCACTTGTTTGCTTGGTATTTTGTGGTCAGGCACTGAATCTCTATCAGGACCTAATAATATGTCAGGAGATGCTTTGAAATGGAGCAACTTTCTCTACTGCAGGTAACATCATCTTACTCCAGAACCCTAGAGGTCTGTGCTGAAACTCCTCTACTGCGGGTTGCCGGAGAATCCACACACATCTTTTCCTACCAGATACCGCTAGTACCACGGAATTTTCCAGGGCATATGGCCCAAGCAGTACCATAGCCTAGACCTTCCAGAGAGGCCTTTCTGGCTTTCCCAAGTTCAGAATATGCTGCCTCCAAAATTGGAAGAGGCCTACCAAGGCACTGTGCTTCTTTCTTGGAGTAAAAGATGCAAGATTCGATAACTTCTCTCTACTTTAGACAGGATGTCCCAGAAGACTCCAGATCCTAAAAACTTAACCAGTGTGGCAGGGCCCTGTGTCTTTTGAAGAATTTATCTCCCACCCTCTGGAGTATTATGTGTCTCACCAGGGAATACAGAATACTTGATACTGCTTGTACAGATCAGATACAGATCTCATTAGCATATCCTTAATACCTCAGCAGCATACACTTAAGAAAGCAAACAAATGTGGTATTTTACAGAATATCCAGGTCCTTTTGGACTATACTGTGACAGAGATGGGGAGAATTAACATATTTCTAGATCAAGACTGTGAACATATACTGTTGCCCATTACTTGCAACTGCAAACTGCTTCTGATACTTCTTCCTGATTGGTATTTAAAGAACATACTCACTAGGTCAGGGATCAGCAAACTTTCTGTAAAAAAGGCCAGACAGTATATATCGATAGCCACATACCTGTACTAAAGGCTGTGTACTCTCTCCAGTAAAGAAAATACATCCAACATAGGACAATTGGGACTACTACTTGCTTAAGTTTGCAGCAGTCCACTGTAATCCACCAGAGTCCTTCCAGTTTTTACAAAGACTAGACAGGTGAAACTAAATGAAGTTAAGATGGGGATCAACACCCCTGCATCCTTTTAAGTTCTTAAGAGTGTAATTAAGTGCTGCCATTTTCCCCAGGGGCTTCTACTTGCCTTTCTGTCCAAATATGGACAGAAATATGCCAAATATGTCCATTCTGATTATACATTTAGAAACTATAAAAATGGCCATAAAGTGGGTTTTTGGACTCACTGTAAAACAGACTTGGGTAAGCACTTCTTTATTATCTGATCCCCTATTTCCCCACTGTAACGGGGGGGGGGGGTCCAGGGAGGGGAGGTGCTGTGGTGGTGCTTTGGGTCCCTGGGTATCCGTGTCACCTCAGATTCTGTATTCCAACTCAAAAAAACCCTGGGTAGTTTTCTTTCCCTAGTGTATGGTTAACTAAGTAAATGGTGCTTTCAATTGATAGGTTGATCTGAGAACTGTCTCAGGCCTAGAAACTGGGCAAGAAATTGTGACTTTTCACTGAAGTTACTGACCTCATCCTTCTGTTCAACCATCCCTAATTGTTCTTAATTACATGTAAATCAATACCCTCCTTGGCTGTCCATCTATATGGTTCCTAGGACCACCCACATTCCATAAGCCATCTCCACTTGGACCATCCTGCCCTTATAGAAATTCACCCACCCTGCTTCTGAGAGTTCAGCGTTGCCATTTGGCTTCTGCTATGCCAGGATCCTACCATTCCCACTATTTCCAAGGGAAACAGTTCTTAAATATCCCCTTGCATCAGTCTCCACCCACAGAGACAGCTACTTCTAAACTTCTCCAAGATGCTGTGACCCCTCCATTAGTGCCTTTCCTTTACAAAAAAAAATTTTTCCCAAGGCCTTCCTGAGAAACAAAGTCAGCTGGGTGGTTTTGCAGTGTAATAGGCATTCATTCTTGCATGCCCACATCCTCTAAGCCTTCTCATCACTTCTCATATAGCCTGTCATCTCAACTCCCATTTACTGTGGGCCATCGTTTTTCCTAAGCTCCCCAAAAGCCATCTTAACAGCATATTACAAGCCCCTTGTGGGGCCCTTGCCAGATCATTCTGGAGTCACAGGAAAATGACCCCATTATCACAAATTCTGCATAACTTGATTCTTAATTCATGAAAGCGTTCGAACAACCACAAACTTGTTTTCTAACATACAGAATTTTGGAATAAAGGGGCACCTCCTTTAAAGTTTCAGAGCAGCTAACACTTCACACACAGCTTAAATGTAAGCTTTGTCATAGTTATTTTTAAGTAACAGAAAAGGAAGGCTAGAAAAGTACTAGAGAATGTCCTTATAGTGACACATCCTTGCTGAAGAAAAAGTTCACCAGAAGCAAATCTCACGTGGAAAAACACATATAGAAATGTATCCGTCTGGCTGACGCAGCTGTGGAGAGACTGAGGCGAGCCCCAGAGCGGCCCTACTCAGGTGGCTGTAATACTTGTACTGGTCTGTGAACAGTTTTTTTTACCAGTCCACGACAAGGTAAGTTAGAAACTGAGAGTTTTCAGACACATTTTAGCATTTTGACATTGCCGTGATATCCAAATGCACAACCAGTGGCCTTGTCCTACAGAAGGGGTCTGGCCGGTTCGGTGCTGTCAGACTTGTGCAGTGGGTAGCCCAAGGTGTGAGCTGCACACAGAACGCACACTAGAGTATAAAGGACTGGATACTTATGAAACAGAAAACCTGATCCTTTACCACAGACAGTTTGAGAAGGACTATTCTATCTTTCCACGAGTCCTAGAATAATTCAAATAGTATTTTTGGGTCAGAGAGTAACCTGAGGTCAATTTGATCATATTCAATCAAAATCAAAATGAAAATGAATGGCTTGGGAACAAAACTAAAGTGGCATCTGTTTAGATTCTCCAAGCAGAGTGAGAACGTGTAAAAGAAAAGTGGCAGCAGGACCAACAGCACACGGTTCAGAGGCGGGGCCCTTTTGTTCTTCCCTCCTCCTCTCTGTCCTCATGCAGTGTTTGGAGGGAGCTATAAGGAGAGAATTTTGGCAATTCAGGTCCTGACCATCATCACAAGTCTGCTTGTACTTCCCCATCTCTTGCAGAGTAGAGGAATCTCAGATTCAGACCTGGGCTCTTCCATACTCTAAGGTACAGTAGCTGGACCTTCCCAAACAGCCTGACGCCTTAAGAGCATTTCCTTCCTTGCCAATACCACAGAATGTGTGGGATTCTAATGGGTGAAAAGTCTTAACCCAAGGGAAAGTGACATGTCAGGAGCTCAAAGTGACACAGATGATGAGTGCAAATTTGCTCTGGTAGTTATTTTCTGAGTGCTGAACCAGGACAGCCAGCTGGTCTGACCAGGGTATCCACCAACATGTGGCAGCCAAGGTCCACAGGTCCCCTGGCTCTCACAGAGAAGGGCAAGGTCAGCTCACAGAAAAATAACTTAGAAAACATATTAACAATATATTACTAACAATAATAATAATAATGTGAAATGTTAAAATACAATACCAATTGAAGGGCTTCCCAAATTGAAATACTCAGAGAAAATGAGGAAAGATGGCCATTCAGTCTCCTTTGCCAACTGAGGTGCACACTGAGCTGGGGAAGGGAGGTGGTGGTGGAACCCAGCACTATAAAGCTATGCAGAACTAGTCTGCTAACATTCCTCATACTGCAGCTTCGAGAAGCTGAGAAAGACCAGGAGAAGACTTGGATGAAAAACAGGCTACAATCCTCACTCAGAATATTTATTAGTCAGGAAAAAAGACCCAGGCTGCACCCCACCCCCTTTTCCCAAGCCACCTTCCTGAATCAATGGACAGGATTTAAAGGAATCAGATGTCTCAGATAAGCCAGAAAGTATCTGAGGAAGAGCATTCATTCATTTCCTAGACCTGACAGTATAATCATATACGTTTGCCAGGGAGAGGGCAGGGGGGGCCAGTAAGAATGGCGGATGAACTAGATGAGAGGAAACAGGATGGACTCTTTTTTGTCACAGCCTAGGTTCACAGAAGGGTTGGAATAAAGAGGTATTTAAAATAGAGAGGAGAGGAAAAGAGAGGTAGAGGGTAAAGGTCAAGGGCCGGGTTCACCCATATCACATAGCATTATAGAAAGAACCAGGGCAGCAACTTGAGTTCTCAGGCTGAACAGAGAGTCGAGGGCTCTGTACCTGGAGAGAGGAGAATCCCAGGGCTTCTCTTTCAATCTACTGTGATTAGATGCCCCCACTACTTTCCCCTCAGAGAATTCAGAACAGTCTGAAAGCAAGAGGGTCTGGTGACAGACCTACATCCCCAACTCAGGCTGTTTCTCCCCATTTGTTCCGAAAGGCCCTGCCCCAGATAACTATAAAAATACAGGAGACTGTCCCTGCTCCCCAGGTCCAAGAGAGGGAGCAGAGACAAGGCACGAAGACCCTGGGTACAAAAATGAACATTAGTGTGGCCCTGTGTATATTATTTTGGGAGAGGGAAGAAGGTGCATGCCCCAAAAGGGATGCCCTCCTTCACCTGGTACATAGCTGGGCCTTTGCCAGCAGCAGAAGCCACAATGGAAAGGGCCCCCAGAAATGATCTACAGAATAGGCCTTATTCCTAGAAAGACAGAGAAAAGCCTCAGCTGGTATGGCACAATCTTGGGTGGGATGACAGATGGCAGTGGGCAGGCCACTCCTGTAGACGACACTCCTGCCTCAGCTCCCAGTGGTTCTGCTGACTCCAGATATTCCCCACGGCTGGGAATCAGAGAGGAAAGCGCGTTGTGTTTCACATGATCAGACACTGTTCGCCATTGGCACCTGGTGGGCCCGACAGATTGAGGGCATCCAGGTCAAAGTTGAGGCCAGGAGGCTGGAGAAGAGATGAAGGGACTCAGGTAATGGCTCCTATTTCAGGTTAGAGCTTTGAAGGTCCATCCCCAGTGGCCATAATTACCACCTTACGTGGAATCACTAAAGGTACAGAATTTTGGAAACTTGGGCTCAGGTTAAAGTACATAAGATGATACACTCACCATCTCCCCAGCCAGCTCTTTTGGAGGGTGCCCCAAATCCTGTAGCTGGAAAAGAAGGAAAGAAGAATATGACAAAATCCCAGAAAACAGGATAGCAGCCCAAAGGAAGAATCTGAGCTATGGTCTCTGTGCTTTCTCCTGAGGACCATACTAAGTGGCCTCTCTTGTGCTCCCTCCTCCATCTGGGTTTGGACTGCGGCATCCTTCCAGGGTACCTCTTCCATCAAACACCCAAGCAGACAACAGCAGTGGGCAGATGGCAAAAGGAGGCCTTACCTGCTGCATAAGATCCAGCACCACCTCAAAACGAGCCTTCTGAGTGGCCTCACTGTCTGTGGCGGTCTCTGCCTCAAACTGCTCACATATCTTGCCCATAACAATGTGTTGTTCCTGATATTTTTCAAACTGCTCGGGAGGTAGAGATTCTCGGTGAGCCTGCAACCATTCTGGATACTAAGGAAAGAGAAAATGGGTTGGGAAGAACAAAGTGAATAATGGATAAGGGCAACAAAATCTGAAGAAAGTAAAATACAAAGGGGACTGGGACACAGAAGGAAAATCTAAATCAGCGAGTTCAGCATAAGAAGTAGCACCGACTTCAACCAGATCACCTGGCATTGATGGTCACCAGAGGCTAGAAACTTTTCTGTGAAGGGCCAGATAGTAAATATTTGAGGCTTTAAGGGCCACATATGGTTTCTGTCATATAGTCTTTATTTTGCTCTTACAACCTTCAAAACAACTTTTAAAAATCTCTTCAGTAACACTATATGATGGCAGAGACCATCATTTAAACTAGTCTTGACATTGTTCATAGCTCAAAGCTAGTAAATGCTCAGTGAAACCTTATTGGAGAAATGAATGAAGCTGAACACACAAGAAGGGGTTGATCAGACAACAGAGTCTTAGACTAGTTTATAGAAAACTATAGAGTTGAAGGATTTCCCCTTCCACCTTAAATATCCTCTGTATGGTAGCTTTATTCTTCAAATAAATAAACAAAGGAGAAAGAAAATAATAGATGAACTTGTGCACTCTAGTTACTCTGCCTCTGCAGCCTCTAAACAGTCAAAGTTGCCCGTGGGAACTGATACAATGCAGAATGAGAGCGCCGAATCCTAACCACTAGACCACCAGGGAGCGTCGATACAATGCAGAATGAAAAGGAAAAGCATAAACAGAAGTTCACAAACCTTCTCCGTGATCTCCTTCAGTGACGGGTACAGCACATCCTTGGACAGCAGGTTCTGCATGATACTCTGCATGATGGGGAGGATGTTCCCTTCCCCATCCCCTTCGTCCATGCCTAGCCCTTCCATGGCCTTGGTCAGCTCCTCTTCTGACATGCCAGAGTTCTAGAAAGGACGGGAGAGAGGTCAGCAACATACTGCCTTCTTGGGATGCTTATCAACCTTTCAGGAAAGAACTACTTAAACTTGCCTGTAGCAAAATAGTGAGGCAGGGACAGACTTAAGATGATACCCAAGGGAGTCTGTCTTTTGAGACTCTGCTGGGGCAGAGTCTGGGAGGGGACCCCTTGTGGTTCCCTAGCTCTCCCCCTCACCTGGAGGTCAGTGGCATTCCTGGCTAGTCCACTTAATGTCTCCTTCAGGCAAGAAGTGAATTCTTGTTGGGAAGTCGCATCACTGCCTACGAGAGATGAAAAGAGCCAAAGTCATTTAGGATTTTAACTGCTTGCTTGACCTAGACTGACCTGGTTACCAGCTTGGACAAGGAGCATTTATTAGTGAACAACCAGCGCTCCAAATCTTTGAATACTCTATGGTCACCTTCATAGTTATTTTCATAAATCTACATGTGCTACGTGTCACTTTGTTCTCCATGATGACACCTACAATAACACTGTGACATTTAAAATGGTCAGTTTTCAATGATCTTTTCTGTTACTTTCCAACCTACCTCACCTCTTTCATTAAACAGGGTCTCATCCCTCCTCCCATCCCCTTCCCCAATCCCGTGGCAGTAGTATCACAATTCCTATCAACTTTATGAAAAATGGTAGTGTCCTTGAGCAACATGATCTAAGAGGCTTGTTCAGACATTTCCAGTTGTCTGGGGCGCCCTCCTCACCCACTCTCCCAGCAGCCTCAGAGAGCTTTTGGAACTGCTCCACCAAGTGGGGCTCTTCCTCAGCCAGCTCCTTCATTGCCTTCTCAAATTCTGCAGTAGCTTGGGAAGCCAGCTCACTGTCGAACAGTTCCTGAAAAAACTTCTCTTGGGAGGCGAAGAGGGCATCCTGCAGGGGAAAGGTAGACAAAATGCATCTCTTACTTGGCACCCCACTGCACATGGCCTCTGACAGAAGCCACAGGCAGTGGCTCCAGGAAATGCAGTGCTTCCCTCCTACCCACCTCCATTGGACATTCTGACTACCTCTATTAATGAGGACAGCAGAAAGGCATCTGGCCACTGAAGGAAAGGTATGGAGTGGTGTTCCCAATTCAACTATTTAAATCCACTCTTTTCTTAAGGAACATCCTTAAAGGGAACCTTCTCAATCTCAAGTCCCTGTTTCACAGGGACTGAGGCCTGCAAGAGCACTCAGCAATGTGAGGCCAAGCCACCCTCCCTTAAATCCCCTCTGGCCCACCGGGGCCTGCCCCACCTCTTCTTAGAGCTGCATGCCCAACCCCTCCCCACCCCTTAAGCAGGTAGAATTTATACTTTGGCAGTGTCTCCTGGTGATCTCTTCTGGGGCCCTGAAGCATCAGGAGCCGTGGTGGTAGGAGGGGGTGCTGAGGAGGGTTTGGCCTTATCGAAATCATCAAGAGCACCTTCAGAGACAAGAGACATGGTGTGTGTATTGGGGATGGATGACGATGCAAGGCTCGGGGATGGGGGTTCTGGGCAAAGCATTAAGAGAACAATCTTTCAAACCAGCAACTTTATGAAAATTTTCTCCTTTTTTTTTAATCTTCCCCTCTGGCCCACCCCTCAAGCTTCCCACTTCCCTCTCCATTATCTAATTTACTGTGATCAAAGGGGAAGAAAACTCTTAAGGTGGAATAAGCCTCTCTCTCAGAGCTAGGAGAAGAGAGTTAAAAGAAGTTCTGCAGAGACATCTCCATCTACCCAGAGCCTTCCCTGCCATACTTTAATGGTTCCCTAGAAATCCCATACAAATACCCAAGGGGAGGAGAGAACACAGATGTTCTTAACCCCTTGAACTCACTCTAGAGCTCTAAAAGGAATAATCTTTGGCAAGAGAGCAAAAGTCACAAGATGTTTCACCCAGCTTCCCATGGGTCCTGGTACTAGTACAAACTGAGGGACTCCATATTACACTCCATGGGAGAGCATTAAACTCTCTTCTCTTATCCTACAATTTTTAGCCCTCCCACCCTAAAGCTCCTACAGCTCCCTCTGGCCTTATCTCTGCAGAGCCCTGTGCCAATTCACACAGTCAGTTAGCACTTCTCACTATTTCTGTTCATATTTCTGCCTACCGATATCTCTATGACTGAGCAACAGACAAAAAAATATTCACCTCTTCCCTGAAAAGCCTGTGCCCTCACTGCCACTGTGCCTGCCAGGCCTAGGGTGAGGACATTGGCCCCACGCTGGGCAAGAAACCAAACGAGGAGTGGAGGACAGGGCTAAGGAAGAAAAGAACAGCCACTCTCTCTTCAAGAGGGTGAACGGCCTACCCCTAAGGTTGTCTCACCCTGTTTTTCAAAATGATGGGAAGGGATTTAGGTTTGAGCTCTGACATGTTGAAAGAACGGAAAGGGGCCTAGTGAGAGAAAGGTGAAAGGACTAGGAGAAGAAAAGGCGTATCTTTTGTGTTAAGGGGAACAGGGCAGTGCACAGAAAGGCACGTTTCGGGCTTGCTAAGAGCTAATGTAAGCAATCCGTGGGTGTCCGGCACGCTGCCCACCGAGGACCAAGTGCTGCTGCTGGCGGGAAGAAACTTAGACTTCAAGCACTTACCAATCTAAAGTACGGAGAGTTTGGAGCGGGATTGTGGAACAACGTTCTCTGGGTTAGTTTCCCCTCCTGCAGGGAGATCAACGTTCTGGGCCGCTCAGGGACCCAAAGTGAGCTCCTCAGCTCCCGCAGCGGAGAAAGGAGAAGGTGACCCAGGGATTTTCTTGGGGGTCGCAGTCAGACCCTCCGCCCCCTCCAACCTTTGGACAGCCTCTCTCACCGAGCCCCAAATATCTCGGGCTCATTTAACCCCCTGTACGGGTTCTCACACCCGCCCCCTTCGGACCGTTCCCATTACCGGCTCTTACTTTCCAGAAGCTCTTCCAATTCCCGGTCCGCTTCAGCCCCGACACCACTAACCCCCTCAGCGGCGGCCATCTTGCCACCTCCGACTTGCCGTAGGAGGCGGGACTCCGCGGCGCCGCGCGCCCCGCCCCTCCGTCCCGGCCCCTTCTGCCTCCTGCAACCAATGGTATTGTGGCCCGTGCGGAGCCGCCATTTTTAAAGGGACAGGAAGCTTTGTTGTCGTTTTCGTCTTTACCTGGGAACGTTGAACTAACAGCGGGGAGCTTACTGTTATCTTCCGCCATGTTTCTTACTGGCCTGGCCTCGTTCCTTTCAACTGCCTACATTACCTAGGAAAGTGGGTCTTTTATTATTTCTTCCTGAGCTGTGGGTGCAAATTGGGACAAACTGCCTGCAAACAACCAGAACCTATGCATGTGTAATCAGTAAGACAGTTATAGCACTCTCAAGCCCTCTAACACGCATACATATACATTTCCTATCCACTTTTCTTCTCCATTTTTCTCAGCACTTACCACTGACATACTATATATTTTGCTTATCTTTACCGTCTTCCTCCAATTTAAGCACAATGAGGGCAAGGGTTTTCCTCTGTTGTCTCATAGGATAGGGCCTAAAACTTAGTAGGCACTCATTGGCTGCTCTTTGCTCTCCCAGTCCCTAATGAGGCATGCTCCTCTGCAGAATCTAATGGATATCTCTTATTTCCCATTCCTCATTTGAACAGTCAGACTAAGGGACATTGTGCCAATAACTCAGTTAAAACTCAGTGTTAGTTAAATCAGGCAGAAAAAGTGACTCTTGGACCTTGGACTAAGCAAGAGGGCAATTGGAATGTAGTAGTAATAGATTTGCTTCCTCTGGTCTCCTTTTCTCTCTACAGAACTCAATCGAGTGAAGTTGGGGGGGGGGGCTCAAATAAAAACAACTCCAGACGTCCCTTCCCTCCTCTGGAATTGTTCTCCTATTCAGATCTGTCAGAATGCATCAACTGCCTCAGACACACAAACCTACCTTAGCATTTAGAAGGCATCTACTGTTGTTTAAGATCCTGTGCTAGGCACAGTGGAGGATAGAGAGAGAAATCAGGTCCAGCCCTTGCTGTACGGTAGCTGACTGGGGATTAGGCTGGAGGTAGGATTAGGCAGACACATGTAAACATGGCACAAAGTAAGTGTCTTAAAAGAAGGGTAAAGTGCCATAAAGTTTAGAAGGAAAATTCACATCTAAATGAAAAAAGTCACTGCATGACTTTCAGCCTTAGCTTTCTGAACACACGCTTCTAATACGGTGTCAAACACCAGATTGGGTACTTAGTCTTCTTGACATGCATATAGAGTACAGACTTTTAAGATGACACCTGTACAAAACCTACTGTGCTCTTCCAAACACAAGTACTGTGATTTGGGAGAAAACACTGGAAGTCAGAAGACCTAAATTCCAGTCCTAGCTGTCACTAAATTGCTTTGTTCAAAATCTTTCAACACTCTAGTCCTCATACTACAAAGATGTAAGTAATTTGGGACTCTAAGATCATTTCCAATTCTAAACTTCTAAAATCAAATCTTTCCCTTATTAAGTTCTTTTTCCCCATCATCTAGTATCTATGCCAGGCTAACTCTCATTCAACTCTAGACTGCTTACATGTGTATTTCTAACATGACTATAGTTTTATCAGGCATGTATTATAGGTATTTCTATTGGCTTTACAATACAGTAAATAAGCATGTTAATAAGGAAAATACCAGGTGGTAATTGAGAGTATTACAATGGAGTTGAAAATAAGCATTAGCACTAAGTCTTCTGCACTATTTTACATAAACTTCAGGAGGATTGTCCACTTTTTTCATATCCCTCAGTTCAAAACAATATCTGCTTATATGAAAAATTAATTTTATAATTTAACTTTTAAATTTACAAGAAGTTTTTGCCAAAATTTATCACCAACTTGCCTATGGTTACAGAAAGAATGTTTGTAACTTGAGAAAGTATTATCAAAGTAGTATGCAAATTTTTGAGAATGCAGGCTTAATTTGGAGATACTATGTTCAAGAAAGCATCTTTTAAAGCTAAAAAGATACAACGGCCTGCACTCTGATGCAGGAATTAAACTTCCAGGAGTTCATCCTTTAGACATACTTTCCCCACCTGTACAATATATATTCAAGTTGTTCATTGCAGCACTGTTTATAATAGCCAAAAATTGGAAATAATGCAAATAGCCATCAATAAGATGATTCAATTGAGAATTACTTAAATAATTTATATTAAATCATACGATGATACATATGCAGAGAAGTTAAAAAAAGAGTGAAGGTCTCTAATATACTGATATGGGAAAATCTCTAGAATGTGTAAAATGATGTAACTATCATTATGCAAAATCATAAAATAGAATGCTTCAATTTAGGTATAACAAGGATAGGGAAGAACAAATCTGCTTGTATATACATAAGAAAATCTCTGGCAGGATTTAAAGAAGTTAACAATGGCAGTTACCTGTTTTGGGGAAGATGATAGGAACTGGGTGGCTGAGAAAAGGGGTGGGAGAAAGACATTACAGTATAGCTTTTTACATTTACTGATTTCTGAACTGTATGAATGTATTGCTTATTGAAAACAGGAATTTAAAATGAAAAAAGTACATATTTTAAGTACTTTAAAAAATGTATTGCCACTATAATAATTGCACTATAATAATAATAATATACAACTTACTAATTAATCATGTATATATATCATTAACAGAACCAGAACACAGTACCAGGTACATGGGAGGTGCAATGAATATTGGCTACAAGTAGCAACAGATGGAAGGCTTCAGTCAATAATGGAATAGGGGAACTACTTGCTTTCTACCATTCTCACAACAGTTTATTATATCCTATGAAAAATATGTACTTCTGAAAAAACACAACTGGTATGTATTACTTTTGCAATTAAAAATAATTACTGAAGAAAACACAACTGTTTTGATGGGGCAGCTACATCAAATAAGCAGGAACATGAGAGTGTCCAGGAAACAGATGGCAAGCCACAAAACTCTTGTAGAAATTTACTTTATTTAGTATGAGAAACAAAATACATGAACAATCACTGAAAAGAACAAATCAATAAAAAGTGATGTGCATCTCTGGAAAACCACCTAGTTTCTTCTCAGACTTTAAGTTTCTGGGCACACAGAGGATATCTGTCTAGGAGTTTAAATGCCCAAAGAAAATGGGGATGGTTAAGAGCTTGCTATAACTGAGTGAAAGGTGCTATCTTATTTACTGTATCTTGCTCCTTTCTCGAAAAAGGACACAAAGGTGGTAGGGAGGGAAAGGATAAATACTGAAGGAATTTACTACACAAATATTCATCACAAACATTTATCATTTCTTCCTTGAAAGATCTAAGCTGGAAAGGCAAGGCCAATTGTGACCACAACTACAGTCACCTTGAGAAGATGAGAGGTCTTAAGAGGCAAAAAAGGTCAAGTTTTGACATTCTGACATTTATCCATAGACGAAGAGAAAGGGACATTAGGTTTTAGGGCAGGAGAGCTAAACATCAATAATATGAAGGGTAGGTGAGGAAGAGGGAGTTAGAAGGATACAAAGACTAACTCTCTGGGGGAAAATATGGTGACTGACCCTGCACAGACAAAGGGGGCCTTAGCGAAACTGCAGAGGACTGATCCTTAAACCAATCACATCTTTGCCAATCTCTGTCACCTGTGGAAGAAGAAACAGCAAAAAGTCAGGAATTTGTGAGTGTGAGAAGCCTGGAAAAGCCTACTTTCTCTGCTCCTCAGTGAGCACAGTACAGTGCTCTGTTACTGTTACTGACTGGTAAAGAATGGTGGGGAGAAGCTCTAGCTTTCTCCACTATCACTGCCTCAAGGAGCAAGGGGAAGTTCAGGTGACAACAAGGACCAACATGCTTCTTTCTCTTTCCCCTTCCCTCAGTATTCTAGATGGATTTCTCAAGGACAGTACTTACTGTGGTGACCTTGCAGATCTGACCCCTGAACTCAGGGGAATAGCAGGCTCCGCTGAGTGGACATTTCTCTACTGGCTTTCCACGGTAAATGGGCCGATAAGATGCAGCGCAGATGTCAAAAGGGTTGTGCATGTCATAATTGAGTTGGTAGGCATCTGTGGGGTTCTTCTCACAGGCAGACAGGATTTTACGGGTCTGAGGGAAGAAAGGAGTATTTTCTTTAACAGGACTGAAAGCTGAACATCTCAAATGATCTCATCACCATGGCTTAGTGGTTTCTTTGATGCAAGATGCAATTGTACTGAGTGAATACATAATATGTCCTCTGTACAGGTCGCATGTGAAGGGGTAACAATCGCCAGTCCTGTTGTATCAGGCTGTCTCCTTCTCTATCCTGAAGTGGCTCCATGGATCTAGACCCACACTCCTCCGCTAAGTCTGGGAATTCTCAGGGTTAAGCCTGAAAGGGTTAAAACTGGCTTTCACTGCCCAAATAGAATGCTGCTGGAGAACACAAGTAATGGGACATGTATAGGGAGGCTAGTAGTGGTGGTAAGGGGATATCTAGATCTTAAGACCAGGACTGGGGTTATTTTCAGGTACAATAGTGGAGCTATTCGAGGTTGCAGGTCACTCAACAGGTGCCATGTATAAGTAAGTTACTAGTTCAGTTTCCAGGAACAAAAGGAGGCCCTGATGCCAGTAAGCAAACAGATGATGGCATTTTGTTGGCTCTTCCTGTTGCTTAATGTTATACAGCGCTTTGTTCCAGATGCAAGGACCTTGGTCTTTGACTCCCTCCATGTAAGAGCAGATCTGGTTCCCCTATGCTCACTGAAGGAGTTCCCATCTACCTGTTGAGCCACCTCTGGTTTGGGCCCAAGTTCCAACAGTCGCCGAGCAAAGGTGGCAGCGGTCTTAAAGTTCTTGAGCTTGAAGAAGAGGTTGAGGGCTGTACGCAGCACCAGGATCATGTGCACTGGCTGCAGGTTTGAGTGGGTGAAGTAGGCTGCCATCTGGTGGACAGAAAGAGGAACACATGCCAGGCTGATGCTAAAGCTGGGATAGGACATTTAAAAGCTGTCACACATGCATTAAAAACAAAACCACCAAATAAAAATAGGACTGGCGAAAAGCGGAGAAGTCT